CTTATAAAATTTGAAATATAAATATTGTATATTTTTTCATTTCTTTGGTAAATTTTGTATACAAAATGTATGTTTAGGCCTGTTAGTTATTTTATGGTTTGTCGATGACGAATAACCTGTATGTGGAGTTTACATTAACAGGTTTTTTGGGGTTTTTTCACTGATGCTTGTCTTGTAATTATTTCTGCCTTTAATGTAGACAATCTGCAAATGATAATTGTGCAATTTTATAAAAGAATACTTTAATAAATGAAATGCCGTGTCATTCGATTTCACAATTTCTTCATGCTATCATTTGCTTTGGATAGGCTTACAATGTGAAATGAGGGGGAATAATAATAATATAGGCCTAAACTTAGGGCCTGTTTAAAGTATGACTAAAATCTAAAAAGCAATTGTTTATTTAGAAAATAAAAGAAATAAGAGAAGTTTTCACAGTATTGCCTCAATTGCTTTTTAGCTTTTTATTGTTGATCGTTATCGTCATACTGTAAACAGGCCTTAATGCTCTATTATAGAGCATATTGCAAAAAATTGCCTCTGTGCTGTAGGTCCCACATTATTACCCACGGTCACACACAGGCCTATGGAACGAAAAAAATTTCTTTATTTGTCCTCATTCTAATTGGAAATCGGATATATGGACGTGGGAACCCACGGCAGCCGCAGTGCAGTGCCTATCTTAACTTCAAACATAACCATGGAGGTATATACCATTAGGCCTATATAACGGACATACGCATACAAACATTGTCCCTAACCCGCCTAAATCTAAATTGGGGCAGGGGTGGAGCCAAGGGGGCCACAGCCTCCGCCCCCTGTCGGGGAGTGCAACCCTCCAGCTCCCCCCCCCCCCTTGTCAGGGAGAAAAAGCACAATTCGCCCACTTATCGGGAAAAAAGCACAATTCGTCGGGGAGAAAAAAAATGATATGTATTTTCTACATATTAGTAGACTTTAAAATCGATTAAATAAGCCTTTGAAACCCCTAAATAGTTCAAATTTTCGGGGCTTCGTGCCCTGGACCACTTTCGAAACCTTTTAATCGAAGCTCGACCACGCCCACATTGTTTCGTCGGGGAAATCTGACCCCTCGTCGGGGGAATCGGGCCCCCGTCGGGAAAATCCTGGTGCCACCCCTGAATTGGGGTTATTCGAGGAGCCAAGCAAAAACCTGACAAGTTTGAACCGGTTCAGCACAAGAAGCAGGAACAATACCTCTCAGCCAACCACTCAGCATCTGAGTAGCATAACCATTACATAATCAGCTAGAATCAGTGCTGGGAATTAAAAGACTACAAGGTATGAAAGACATTACAATAACATACGTGCATGTTGATAGCAACAATTTATTGACAAAAGCAAATAAAAAAAAAACAGAACCTTTGATCTGGCCTATAAACTGAAGGGATAAACCGCCGTTTGTACTTATAGACCACTTTGTCTCTATGTTGTCAATTTATACTACTACAATTTCAAAGATGTAGAAGTAAACCTAAGCGAGGAGATATTGCGGAATACAGTTGATGAGAGTCGCATTTCCTGATAGGAATAATCATATTTTAAAACTGTAAGTGTCCAGGGACACGGACCGACAACATGGCAATCAGTATGCTTCCAAGTTACGAAATGGCTGTATCAATATTTTTGTATTTGCTTTTCTCCACAATTGCTGAAAGTAAGTTCTTTCACTGTAGTTATGTTGATTATGTACAGTCTTTCTATTTAACTGAATGCCTATGTCAAAGTTTAAATCAATACGGTAACCGTGTTCTGGGGCGGATGCCAGGATTAGATGGTAGGGGGTGCATGAGAGTCTACACCCCCACAGCCCAACCATGGTTGGGGCTGAGGTGGGAACATATTGAGAAAAATGACCTCTGGTGCCTGGAAATTCCACTCTTATACCTTTAAAATTTTACCGCTAATTCATATCAACAATACAATACAACTAGGCCTATTATGTTCTTAATACAATTTGGAGGGGGGGGATGCGATCGCACCGTCTGCACCCCCACCCCTGCATCCACCTCAGATGTTCGTTTCGTATATATTCTGATGGTAACCATCGTTGAATCGTTAGCGTATACACGTCATTAACATAGGCTACCTCAAAATGCGGGAAAGTGCATTTTTCCGGGCCTTTACGAAACCCGGTTTGCACCAGCCGCCCCTCCCACATTCTTCAAATTCTAGATTTGCCGCTCAATTAAAGGGGTATAGTACAGTACTGTACACAATGCTAGTTACGAAATAGGACCTATAAGCCTTCAATTACTATATTGGGACATTTACGTTAAGGTACATGAGGCCTCAATCACAGCGACCAACGGAACGGAGATGCTGTTTCTATCCGATTCCCAAAAGATTAGTACAAGTGAGCCATGACTATTATTTTTATATGTGTTGTTTCTATCTATATCAGAAATCTCTATAAAAAGTGAAAACGAACTTTCAACACTTTATCTGAGAAAACCAATATTTTGACCTAATGATCGGTCGATATACATGGTTTACCAATGAAGTCTAAAGTCCGTACACATATATATATATATATATATATACTTATATATATGTATATATATAAATCATGATATAATAGAGATAAACTCTGCGAGTGTGAGAAAATAGGTGCCCCCAACCGGGTTTCGACTTGTGTGCATTGTGACCCATGTGGACCATAAAGAACGCAGTACACTCTTCGGAAAAAGTAGGGGATGGTGTACTGCCCCACCAGAAGGATCCAATGGAAATAAGTCTTCTTCTAGACTTTCGTGGGTTATCCTTGGTGTTTACACATCCAATTGTCTAATGATAATCAAACCTACTGTTTCGCGAGCGGTCCCCAAATAAGCATTTGAAACTTCAACAATGCTTCGTCCAGTACCAGGGCCGGCACCAGGAATTTCCCGACGAAGGGGGTCCAAGCTCCCCGACAAGAGGGTCCACGCCCCTCCACCTAAGCCTAGACCCCACCCCCTTTTTTTAGAGAAAAAAAAATTAATTTGTCGGGGATTTTTTTAAATTAAACGATAATACAATTTTTGTGTTAATTATGGGATTCTTTATCTAGAAAGGATGTAGAGGGCACTAGTCCCCTGTCGGGGGTACTAACCTCATGTCGGAGGTACTAACCTCATGTCGGAGGTACCATCCCCCTCTCGGGGAAGAGCTGGCGCATCACTGCAACCCATACGATCGCAAACACCTCGCACATACGGTAGCACTGCTCTCTCTTTTATCCCTAAAATTTTGACAGCTT